GTTTGGACACAGGGGCTGGGAGCAACCTGCTCTAGTGGAAGGTGTCCCTGCCCGGGGCAGGGGTTGGAACTGGAGGAGCTTTAAGGTCCCTTCCGACACAAACCAGGATTCTGTGGTGCAGTGTCCCCTTGTCGCAGCACTCTTGCCACGTCTCTGCATCTCTGCTGTTTTTCCCCATGGGGCACACAGAGGCTGTAAGACCCAGGCGTCCTCATCCAAGCGGGTGCTGTGGCTGTGCAGTGGGACTCTGCAGCTTGCAGCAGCTTCTGCTGCACATGGGGCTGCTGAGGAGGCTCTGGTGCCCCCGGCCTCACAGCAGACGGGGCTGTGCTGGGCCCACCCACCCCGGCTGTTATCTCTGCTCTGCAATTCATCCCTGTCCCCGTCCCTTCCTTGCCCGGCGAGGGCAGTCTTTGAGCTGGGGCCTCTATCTGCACTGTACAGAGTCAGGTGCCTCTGGTTCCACCCTCTCCCCTTCCTCCTGTGGGATTAACTGTTAAAAGCATTTTTTGGATTCTCGAGGTGGGTTTTGTTCACTGAGCCCTTTGTTCTCGACTGGTCCCAGCCTGGATCCCAGCTTGGAGCCTGGCCGCTGCACTGGAGCTGCCAGCTCCAGTTCAGCCCAGGGCTGGCCCCTTCTCTGTGAGTAAGGACAGAGCAGCAGCTTTCCAAGGGCTAAAAATGACTTGCCAAGCAATGCTGTGACTCTGCCAGCTGGTCTGCAACCCCCATGAGTACCATCCAGCTGCTTTATACAGCGCTTTTGTAGGTGTGAGCCTGCTGGTAACTGAGAGGTGCCTTTTCCCCATCCCCAAGCATAAGTGAAACTGGTCAAGCCCTGGATTTGACACGATGCCCCATATTACAAGTGCCCTCTGCACTCGGGTGCCCTGGTACAGACTGAGAACCTGGCTCAGCATTACAGTATCTTGAGTGTGTGAACGCCTCAGATTAAAGGTTTTCCAGCAGAACGGAGCCATCTCCTGCACAGCCCTGGTGCTGTCTGGTACCATGAGTGCCAGTGTAAAACCTTCTCCCTCTCCCTGGGCTGTATCCTGCGATGCTGTGAGCTGTGTCTGTTCCCTGGGTGCAGGTAGCAGGTCTGTGAGGTTTATTGCCTGCGGAATCCCTCCTGGAATGGGACTGGGGACCCCAGGGCTGCTCCCAGCCAGCTCCTGTCTCCCAGGGAAGCCTGGCCCTGCCATGGGGCGCAAGAGGAGGAATCCGCTTGCTCCTTCAGAAGTCTCCAGCTCTCAAAACAATCTGGTCTCCAGCAGGGACTTGGCTCTGGTCTCCTGGGACACCCTGTGCAGGCGCCCGTGGGATGCAACCATGTGAGAGCAGCCAGCACAAGTCCTTGAAGCTGCTTGTACAAACAGGCTGTTGTCCAGGTTGGGGTTCCCAGGGCTGAAACAGCTGCTCTCTGCTGTGCTGCAGCCAAACGCCCCTTCCATCGCGTTCTCAACCGCCACATGTTGGTGAGAATTTAGCTCTAGGGGGAATTTAGATCTTAGTGGTCTAATCACAGAATTGTTACTAGGTCTATTATAAAAGAAGAAAACATTGCTACAGGAAAAGTTCCAGCATTAACATAGCTAACATTTCGTTTCTGAACATTGAGTAATTCTTCTTTGCAACCTCTGGAATCAGTTTTGCCCAACTCCCTGGTTGTCCTCACCCAGCAGCAAGTGACCACTGGAACTGTGTGGCTGTGGGGTTTAAAGCCTTGGAGTCGTCAGGATGATCCCATGCAGCTCTCCCATCCAGAGCCTGTGCTCTTCTGTAACTACACCTTCACAGCGCAGCCATAAATACATTGTGCTACACAGAGCAGCTTTTTACTACACTGTATACAAATCTGTATCATAGTTATACAGCAGTGAGCAAAGTGAAATGAATTCAGCAAAGAGTATCTCAGTGACAGAAAGCTGCTTATAGCTAAACCAGAGGTAGCCTGAGGAGGGTGAGGGTGGTTCTACTGTGGGAGGACGCTGGTGCCTGTGAACTGGTGGTTTCATACACAGAACTGGGAGGTTTTGTGGGGAGGAGTCAGCACCGTCCCTGTTTGTGTGACTGCTGCTGGGGGTCCTGCAGCACCCACAGGCAGGGCTGGGATGGAGCTGGCTGGGCTTCAGCCCGTGCTCTCCATACGTGCCCTGCAATGGACAGGGATGGTCCTGCTTTGGCTGCCTGGATCTCGGCCCCCTCCTCACATGCACCAACAGCAGCAGCTTAGCAGGACACCACCACTCACCAGCCTGCTGGTTTCTTCCGGTGTTTCAGAGTCTCCTCCCACTGCTCCGAGCGCAGGCCCACGATGCAGGTGGACTCCATTCTCCACAGCGGCTACTTCCACCCTGTGCTGCGCTCCTGGCAGTGTACAACAACCACCTTCGATGCCTCCAACCTCATCTACCCCATTTTTGTCACGTGAGTGAGCCCTGGCTCTCTGGGTTAGGGATGGACCAAGCTCAAGGTGACTGGCTTAGGTGGTCCCTGAGCTCTTGGATAGGTTCAGATTCCCCGGGGAGTGGACGAGCCTGGGATGGGGGCCGAGTCCTCACATCTGTGTCCCATCCACCTCCTGCAGTGACAGCCCTGATGCAGTGGAGCCGATCCCCAGCCTCCCTGGACAAGCACGGTAAGAGTGCAGCCACACTGAACTGCATGAGGGTCACTGCCATGCGCCGTGCTCGAGAAGGTTGATGTATGGCCTGAGACGAGCATGAGCCAAGGGCGATGCTTCCAACCCTCTGTGGTCCCTGCCTTGGGGATACCCCAGCATCAGGCAGGGTGGGATCATTCATCCACTAAGGGAGTGGAGGGAATCATACTGGGAATGTGGGAAAAGTACCGGCACTGGCGGGGATAGTGCCAGGCTCTCACCAGGCACTCACACGTTGTGTGTGGGCTCAGCATGCAGGGAAATTGGAAATGGGGTTTTCAGCAGCAGCTGGAAAACCTGTGCAAGGACATGGGCTTCAGTCCTGCATGAGATCCTGCTGGACTGGCAGCTCCTGTCTTCATCAGCATCAGCAGGGTTGTGTGCGGAGAGGCCCCAGGAGGTGTTCCTATGGGGAGGTGGGCTGGATCTGCCACAGGGACACCACGATAAGGGATCCAAGGATAGGGCATGCTTGTCCTTTCAGAGCAGAGAGTGTCCATGTCGGGTAGATAATGTTCCTGTAGCCCCAGATAAGGTCCTGGATTGTTCCTCACAATGTTCAGGCAACTTGTCCCCTGTACCTCCAGCTGCTGCTTGGTGTGGATGCTGGGTTGGTCCCACCACCCCCCCC